CTCTTTTATAGGTATAGATTTGTATTACTGAATTAAAGACATTTAAATATACAAATTGAAAAATTCATGGTAATAATATTAATAAAACCAGCATTGAATGTAAAGAAACGCCATTTTCTGGGTGAGACCCGGAGGCTTCCCAGAGCTATCCAGGCTGATATGTATATCATTAGACTTTGGCACCATTAATAGACATAGTAAGTCTAGTAATATACATATCAGCCTGGATAGCTCCGGGGAGCCGAAGGGACTGCCCCAGAAAATACATGATACTAAAGAATTTAAACAAAATAAGCTTATACAGTATTGTATAATATATAAGCATGAGTGAGAGTAAAGATTAAACAAATTTATTATTAATATTAGTCCACCAGATTAATATTAACCATTAATCAAAGCACAAGAATACAACAAAATTTAGTACAGACAGAATGATGAAACTTTGTTCAGTACCAAAAAACCAGCATTGAATGTAATGAAACTCCATTTTCTGGGTGAGCCCCGGAGGCTCCCTGGAGCTATTGGACTGATACGCGATATATTAGTCTGGGGCAATAGTCACTGGAGTTCAGCTCACTGGGGATCACGAGCCAGAACCTGCCCCCTTAGAGAGGCCAAGGGAGCAATAGCCTATGAAAACCCCCCTAGTACTTGGGGGCATTCCATGTCTGCCATCGACTGAGGTTAACACCCAGAAATGTAGGCATAACAAAACAGACCCCTACATGGTAAGAAAATTGCAACCGAAGACCGAACAGAGAGGCAGAACTCCCCCAACCTAAGAACAAGCAAACAAGTAAACGTCACACACTCAGCCGGGAGGGAAAATCGAACCACCCTTGCCAGCTACTCAACACCTCCAGTTCAGAGGCTGAGCATCAAAAGCAACATGGAACCGCTGACCGAAGGGAGGGAGGGTGCCAGGGGAGCTTCGGGGCTCACCCAGAAAATGGTGTTTCACTACATTCAACGCTGGTTTTCTGTGGGGAGCACCTTCGGTTCCCTCGAGCTACCTAACCAAAGACTAGTAAAAGAGGGACTTACCCGGGAAACAGCCACGCGCTCATCTACTCAAAGTCGAGACAACGGGCTGCAACATGCGACCCAAAGCCACACAAGAAAGACCGGGACCAGGAACATTTACCAAATAATGGGCGGCCAGGACCCTGTTCGACCTCCAAAACCCCCGTGCCCGAATGTCAGCCCAAGACAAGCCAAACACAGCAGCCAAAGCAGCAAACTTACGAACGTCATGGGCACGAGGATAGACAGCAGGCTGGCTAGATTTAATAACCCTGCGGACAACCTGGGAGACCAGAGCCCTGGAACAGGGAATGAAGGAAACCGGATCAACCCAAAGCGTGTCCCCAGCCACAGAAGCCGAGGCACGCAGATAACGGGAAAGAGCCGCAACCAGACACAACACATGATGCACCCGCTGCCTGACCAACCAAGCATCAATAACCCAAGGGCCCTTCCGGAAAGCCGCTGTCTCAGTCTTCGCCAGAAAAGTAGGAGACCTCCACAACCGAACAAACCGACCACCAGGACCGAAAGAGCAGAAGCTCTCTCCTGTACCAGAAGAGAGCATGAACCTCACCGACCCAACCCCCAGAGGCCAATGCCAACAGAAACAGCACCTTGGAAAAACAATCTTGAATCGAAAGACCCACCACAAACCGAGGATAAGAGAGAAAAGAGAGCATCCGGTCCAAGGACCAGGACGTCCCAGGCAGCACATGAGCAGGCCAGGGGGGAAAATAAATCACTAGAAAGCATACGGAACAGAGCAGAAGTGAAATCCAACCCTGAATACAAGCTGGATTGGCTCTGCTATTGCTGCATGATAAGAGGCGACAGTATTTAGGCATGAAATGATGGTCCAGAAACAGCCAGGAAACTTCATTCTGTCACCAACACAAAGCTCGCAGGTGAAACACCATCAAAGAAGCCACCTGATGGCCATACAAGTAGTGATACACCGTAAAAAAGACCAAATGCAAAGAACGGAGGAGTAGATCAAACCAGCATGTACTGGACTGGTCTGATCTGCTGGAAGAAGCGGAGCCATGGAAAATGCACCGGGTTTGGATGCTGAGCAAGCAGCGCCTGAAACCAAGGGCGGGCCGGCCACCAAGGGGCCACATGGACGACTCCTCCCTGATGAGTTTCCAACCGAGCCAGGACCTGAAGCAACAGCTGGACCGTGGGGAAGCATGGGGATAGGTGTATTGGTAACCCCCCCCCCCCCCTGGACCAATTCTGCCAAAGGGCATCCACCATGAAGGTTTCACAGTCAGGAAAGGGCACCATATATACTGGGGTACGTCGAGACCATGCCGACACCAAGGGGAGCCACCTGAGGAAGCCTGAACATCTAGGAGAGCCAATGGAATGAGTCGGTGGCGACCGTCCATTCCGTGGACAGGGGAATGAACCAAGACAGGCTATCCACCAGGACATTGTGCACACCCAAGGAAATGAACCGCACGGAGAGCCAAACCCCGAGAATCCAGCAGACAAGTCAATCCAAACGACCAGCCCCAAAGACTGAAAAGAACCGCCGCAGTTTAGACATGGAACCACCAGAGAGCAGTCCGAATGTCTTGATCATGGAACCCCAAGCAACCCGAACCCACCAAAGCGACAGCCAACCGCCACGAACTCCTGCACCATTCTGTAAGCCCAAAAGAAGGACGGAGCCCACTGCCCCCGGCCAGCCTGGTGAGCACCAGTCACAAAACCCCAGCCAAGAGATGAGGCGTCTGGCTCGGGTAGGCATCAAGACACAGAACCCCGAAAACCCCAAAGAGAAAGCCGCAGCAACCAACACAAGGCTGCCGGAGGCCAAACCCAACGATTGAGAGAGAGGTGAAAGGGACATCCCCAGAGGAACCAGAACAGACGCTGCAGCCAGACCCGGCCCGGCGAGGAAACTAGCACGGCAAAGGTCAGACCCCCGCACAACTGCTCAAGCAACCGCAGAATGACCCAGGAACCCCTCAGAAACAGCTGAAGGCAGTAATGCAGCCGCATCAACTGCTGTCAAAAAATGGAATTCCACCTTTAAGAAAATCTTCCATGATTTCTTTCATGCTGGTAGCCCACCAGTTCAGTTCTTTAATGATGAAAAACCGCTGCTCGGAGGGAGGGAGGGAGGGTGTCAGGGAGCCTCTGGGGTTTGCCCAGAAAATGGCATTTCATTACATATGGTTTTCTGTGGGGGAGCCCCGTCAGCTCCCTGAAGCTAACTACCCAAAGATAAGTAAAAAGAAGGACTTACCCTTTTACATACCTATATAAACATAACTATTTTATACCCATACCTATGGGTATAAATTGGATAAGTTTAGATTTATGAAAGACCCGGGTAAATACCGGTTCAGTAACAGGGTTGCTGATTTGTGGAACCAATTACCACGTAACCAATTACCATGTCGATAGCAGACATGGAATGCCCCCAAGTACAAGAAGGTTTCTATATGTCATTGCTCTCTTTGCCTCTCTGAGGGGGCCAGGTTCTGGCTCGTGGTCCCCAGTAGGTTGAACTCCAATTGACTGATGCCCCAGACTAATATATTGCATATCAGTCAGATAGCTCCAAGGAGCCGAAGGGGCTCCCCACATAAATATAGTAAAATATGTACTTACAGAAAAAATAAAGACAAGAGAGAAAAAGGTTTTATTTATAGTTACGTTGGTAATAATCAATTGGAACACTGAAGAACAATTATGTAAAGATGGATTAAGGACAATACTTAGTGACAAAATGTGACAAATGCAACAGCAAGGAAGGAGTTTTAATTATGTAATTAGGATTTTTTATCTTGTAACGATCATTAATTTTGTTTACAAGAGCAAAATCATTTTGTTTGTTTACAAGAGCACATTTTAAGGGATTGACACTTAGAATGTAAAGAAGAAGAAGAAGAAGAAGAGACATTTAGTGTGGGGTCAACACACCTCTGGCCACCGTCCTCCATATGGCAGCTTGAAGAAACAGAAGTACTATGTACAACAATATTACTAGAGTCTCTCACTACCCCAACCCCTTTCTTTTGCTATTTGACTCTAAACATTAAATCATTTGCTATATTTATATCTCAACTGTGCACAAGGTTGTTTTGGACAGTATAATGAAACAAAAGAGACTGTTTTAATTACAGAAAACATCAAATTATTTCCTCTAATATCCCAGTTAGTTAAACTGCCCAAACATGGCCTTCACATTATCATGCACTTGACAATGGATTTGACTATGTCCGTATCATTGTTACTTTGTGTAACTTAAGGCAAAAGTTATACTGCAGACAACTTGTGATCAATGAAGTGACCATTGCACAGCCAAGGATTATTCACTTACAGTATAACTACTTTATCTAAAGGCAGATGAAATATAGATTTAGACATTTTATTGATATGTAAATATATAATATTTCTAGGCATTGCCATACTGGATTGCAAAAAAAAAAAAATTACTAATATTACACAAAATCTTAGTTTACTCATATCATAATATTAATTTTAGATTTTTTTATTAAACTGTCTATCAAACTAACCACATTTTATATTGTATAATATATATTTATTAGTTACACAGAAAAAATAAAGATGTTTAAAACATCTCAAGAACAAAAGAACTCAACATCAAGACAGATTTGTTTTTAATTAACATAAGGTTATTATCCCAATTTTGAATTTTAAAGCATTTAGGTGTGATTAAACAGCAATAATGGTTATTATATCCTGACTGATGCTTAAAAAAAAAAAGATAGCAAATTTCACACAGGAGCAAAAGCTGAAAGCTAATTCACTCATCATCAGTTAACTCGTGCACCACAACAGTAATCCTCACAAAAAAAAAAAAAAGAGGCATTGCCATTATTGCTACAAAAATCTCCACCCTGCCAGTAAGGTAACGGCTGGCCGACAGTTAGTAAGTTAGAGACATGCTGTAGGCGGGCTGACAAAACACATAGCTGATTGACGCATTACTCTACCTCGCCCTGAGTGGGGGGGGACGACCAGCCAATCACAAGGGGGAAGGGGGGGAAATAAGAAATCATGTTGAAATTCACTGTAGGTACTATTAATTTCATTATAATTTTACATATAATTAATATCAGTACTGTATATGTTCAGTAAGGCTTAAAGTATATATACTGAAGAATTTTTAGAATATATATATATATATAATTTCATTTTATATCAATTATGATGTGGCACTTATTTCTATCCAGTCATATATGTATACTATATGTATATTTCAGCCATCCTCACTGCACTATAAGTTAAGGGATATGACCTGAAAATCATTTTAAAAAGTTTTAAAGAATTTTGCTATCAAAGAGAATGCTTTATGGTTTAGTTTTAAATTGACTAAATACTGCACAACAAAGCTTTAAGCCCTTTACAACATTTAAAACGATAACTGCAGAAAAAATCGTCTCCTTCTGTAGTCCCGATAACTAACAAGTTTCCCCAAACCAGCATCAAAACACAAGCTTATCAGGCTTTAGCAATGCTGTATTCAATTCTTGTAACAAAGCTGGGCAACTTCAAATATTCAAGAAAAAATAAGAATATAATGCAACTTACGAAAGATAATTAATAATACTGAAATAGCACTCTTGCTTAAGATCAGTGATTCAGTGCATCAAAATACACCAAAGAGAGAAAAGCTGCCCAAAAAATTTTGATTTTCAGGAGCATATGACAAAATATCAGATATCTTCATATCTATTAATCTAGCCTTTAGTACAAAGAATTTACTTACATATCCCTCTGGGTGTAATTTGGTTAAAAATCGTTTTCGTTTGAAGGACAGTTTTCGTATCTTGGCCCAAGAGAAAGTGTTTATCTTTGTGTAGTTCTGAAACACCAACACACCCATGTGTGCAACCGCAAGGTTTAGTGGTACTCCTTCGTTATCCTGTGAATGAGAGGGCATTTAATAATCTAATACAATAATTAGAAAATAAAACATAAATTGCACCTATAACCCTGAAAATGCGTAACACATCATATGATGTGTTAGAGTACTACGCAATATTTAAACAGCCTGCAGATACACGGGGCTCACCTCCCTTTCATCAGGGCTCTTGTAAACAGACGCCATTTTTTTTTTAAATCGTGGGCAACATTCCCGGGTGTTAGGACCTCAGTACTGAGTGAGCCACCAAGACTGGCGCACGCAGCATGAGCTCACAGCACTGCTGTTCAGCTTGTGACCACAGCATCGCCTAAAAATGTCAAAATATATAAATACATGCTATTATTTAGCGATGATAGTATTCCAGAAGAACCCTGACTGTGATAAAAATGTCCAGGATTCTGATAATAGCAAGATTGTTGTGATAATTAGTGCTGAAGTGGGAGGATTAATCTTGGCGGGGAGGGAGGTAGTGTTATCTGCTGACTCTGTGTGACCACCTTTTACTGTCTGGACTCACTATACCAGCTTAGTCGATCACTATGGTGAGCAAAACATGCAGATACTTATATATAACGTCTTTATATAGTGAATAAAAGCAAAAAACATTATGGTGGGAAGAGAAGGTTGGTGAGTCAGGTGAGGTGAAGGATGGAGGGAGTGGCAGCCAGTGGCGGGCTAGCTGGTGTGTGGTGGGCACTCCTTGCAGCTGTTTGACTCAGTATACCAACTTAGTGATTCCTTATGGTGAACACAAATGTAGATACAGTACTTATATATAACGTGTATATATAGTGTAATGACAGCAAAAGTAGTGTTGAGAGAAGCCATTTTGGTGAGGGAGGTGGCGACATCTGCATGACTTGTCATGCTGGGTAAGGGTGGCTACTGTGCTCTTTGGGCACTATACAGCCTTAGTTGAACAGTTATGGTGAACAAATCATGAAGATACTTATATATAATGTGTGCATATAGGGTAATAACACCACAACAGTATACTTGAAGGAGGAATGTTAGTGCGTCTGGCCTTGAAACAGTGACGATGGGAGGGAGGGAGGGAGCATGAGTTATGGGTGTACACTGTTACTGTCTGCCGTCGCCATACAACATTAGTGGTTCGCTATGGGGAACACAAATGTAGATACTTATATATAACCTGTGTATATAGTGTAATAAGTGACAAAGTATTTGTTCACTGCTTTATGAACATAATAATTGAATCAATAATATGCACACCATAATTTTGAGTACAGCGATGATTCACACATTTTATTATATAAATATATCACACTATGCACTATTGAATAATATTAGAGCAAAAAAAAAAGAAAAAAATCAATCAGAGATATTGAAATAATTAGGTAATTATATCTTTGTGGCAACCCCCACCTGACAGCTGGGGAGAAGCAGAATTTTCTTTTTATTTTTGTTTTGCCTGGTGGGGAGGGGGGTCTGCCTTGTGTCTTTCCCTCCCCCTTATATTAGGGTCGTTTGTGTGGTGGCACCCCCTGCTTAGCCCTCGCGAGTGGACACGTCCCGTGGGTTCAGCTTTTAGCAGTTTGCTTGGTAGTATGAGACGCCGGTTAGCAGTGCCCTGCCTGAGATGACCCTTAGCAGACCAGTCTAGGGGCCCTGAGAAACCCCGCGGGGTCTCTCAGGTCTGATAGAGGAGACCCTTGCGTCCCCTTTCGTTGGGTGCGAGTTTGAGGGTTGCTCTGTCCCCTTGTCTCAGGGTAACTCTCATTGTTTTTACCTCCGTCATGCTGCCTGTTGGGTCGGTGACACATTCGACCCTGAGTCCTGCGAGCTGTGTTGTTTGTTCATGACTCAATTCACCCAGTCTGCTGATGATTTACTTTGGGTGCAGGCAGCTCGTGCATTGCAAGGTAGGTTTAGGTTGTTGCAACGCGCTCGGGTTGTCGCTTCCCCGGACGCCCAGAGGCTGCCCCGCTTTGTGTATAGGGACCTGGACTTGGGGGTGTTGGTCGCTTCAGCCTTGGTTCCGTCCCTGCCCCCTTGTTCTTTCCCTTCGGTGGTTTGGTGCCGGTGCCGCCTGCGGTCCCACCTGTGCCTGGTCGGCGCGGTGTTCGCTCTGCACGCAGGTCGGGTTCTCGTAAGGGGCAGAGGTCCTTTCGCGGTTCGCCCCATTGACGGGGCGATGGGGGGGAGGCTTGCTCTGTTCGCTCACGCCTGGTCTCACGATTTGTGGGCTTTTCGGGTCGTTTCTCGCGGCCTGCGGTGGCGTTGGGTGGCTCTTCCTCCTACGGGGGGTTCGGGGCTGACGGGGCAGGCTTCCTCTCCTGCGCTCCGTCGGGTCATCTTGGAGTGGGTGCGCTTGGGCGTGGTCGAAACGACGCAGTCCCTCAGGTGGGTTTTCTGCCTGTTTTCAGTTCCGAAACGGAACTGTGCGGACCTGCAGTTCATTCTGGACTTGTCCCGTCTGAACCCTAGGGTTTTTTGCCCCTTGTTTCGGATGACCACTCTGTCCCAGGTCTGGCTTCTGTTTGACCCGGGTGCTTGGATGGTGTCCCTGGACTTCAAGGTCGCATATTTGCACGTTCCTATTCATACGGGGTTCCAGGACTGCGTTGGTTTTGTTGTGGGGCGTCAGTGCAACCGCTTTCGTTGTCTCCCCTTCGGGTTGAATCTGGCACCTCGCGTGTTCACACGCCTTACTCGGGTCGTGGTGGCCCGTCTGTGTCTGTTAGGTGTTTGGGTGTTGGCTTACTTCGACGACTGGCTGGTTTGGGCTCCCAGTCAGCCCACGTGTCTGCTGGCCAGGGATTTGGTGCTTTCCCAGCTCGCCGGGTTCGGGTTCCTGGTGAACTGGCAGAAGTCCCGTCTGGTTTTCTCCCAGGTTCGGTAGTAGCTGGGTCTTGTGTGAGACTCTCGAACCGCTTCCTTGTCTCTTCCTCCAGTCTCTCTCCTTCGGCTGTGGTCTCGCCTGTGTCTGTTTATGGGGGATCCCGGTTCACCCGACGGTTGCTCGAGGGTTTGTGCGGGAGCCTGAACTTTGCGATGTTGGTTTACCTGCCAACATCTTGCCGGGTCGGGTTTGGCTTCGTCGGCTGTTCTGGTTCCTTCAGGGACGTCCCTTCTGCCTCTCTCACTATCCCTGGGTTCGACTCCCGGGGGCTTTGCGTCGGCTGCTGCGTCGCCGGCTTCCTCTTCAGGTTTTTCGAGTTCGGGGCAGTGTGGTTTGCGCTTCAGAGGGTTCTGCGGATCCGTCGATCTGCGGACAATCCGCAGATCGACGATCCGGCTCCATTCAGACTGCTCCCAAGTGGTTCATTGCCTAAACCGAGGGGGTTCGATGCGGTCCTTGGCTCAACGGGGTTGGTTGCTTCGGGTGACTCGTCTACCGAGTTCTCGGGGTTTGGCTCTCCTGGCGGTTCACGTCCGGGGAGTGTCCAACATCCTGGCGGACAGCCTGTCCAGGTTCATTCCCCTGTCCACGGAATGGACGGTCGACGCCGACTCCTTCAGTTGGTTCTACATTCAGGCGCCCGGAGGTGGACCTCTTCGCGTCGGTGTGGTCAAGGCGTCTTCCGGTTTACGTGGCACCCTTCCCCGACTGTGAGGCTGTCGGGATTAACGCCTTTCGGCAGGACTGGTCAAGGTGGGGGTTCCTGTACCTCTTTCCCCCAGTTCGGCTGCTGCTCCAGGTCCTGGCTCACTTGGAGACTTACCTGGGTCGAGTGGTTCTCTTGGCCCCGTGGTGGCCGGCCCAGCCGTGGTTTCAGGTGCTGCTTGCCCGGTGTCTGAACCCGGAGGTTTTTCCGCGGCTCTGCCTCTTTCAGGAGGTTGGGCCGGTCCGGTACGTGACTGGTTCACTCTTCTCTGCAAGTCTTCGTGTTTGGTGTTTTTAACTCATGTTTATCACCATCTTTATGGTGAGCAGGTGACTTCCTTGTTGGTTTCTTACCTGCGGGTTTCCTCTCGGCGACAGTATGAAGTTTCCTGGCGGTCCTTCCGGTTCTTTTTGGCCCTTCGTCGTTGTTTCTCGCTTTTGGTTTGGGTGGTGGTGTCCTTTCTCTCTTGGTTGTTTCAGGACTGCCATCTGATGCCTCATACTGTCGCCTCGTATCGTGCGGCGCTAGCAGAGCCACTGCAGCTTGCTTTCGGTATTGATGTTACTTCTGCCCCATTTTGCAAGCTGTCTCGGGCATTGTTTCACCTCCGGCCTGCTCATGCGCCGCCTGAGCCATCCTGGTCTTTGGACAGAGTGCTCTTCTATCTATCTTCTCCTCGGTTTGTTGTGGCCCCTTCGGTTCAAGATTGCTTTGCTAAGGCTCTTTTTCTGTTGGCATTGGCCTCTGGGGGTCGCGTGGCGGAGCTTCATGCTCTTCTCTGGCACAGAGGTTTTTGCTCCTTTGGTCGTGGTCTTTGGTATGTTCGTCTGCAGCCGTCTCCCTCTTTTCTGGCAAAGAATGAGACTGCTGCTTTCCGGAGGGGGTCCTTGGGTTGTTGATGCTTGGTTTGTCAGGCCGGGGGTTCACCATGGGTTGTGTTCGGTTGCGGCCCTCCGCTGTTATCTGCACGACACGGCTTCTGTGTCTGGGGACGCGCTTTGGGTTGATCCGGTTTCCATTCTTCCCTGTTCATGGGTTCGGGTCTCTCAGGTAGTCCGCGGGGTTATTAAATCCAGCCAGCCTGCGGTTTATCCCTGTGCCCATGACGTTCGTAAGTTTGCTGCTCTTGCTGCCGTCTTCAACAATATGTCTTGGGATGACATTCGGGCACGGGGATTTTGGTAGTCGAACAGGGTCCTGGCTGCACGCTACCTTGTGAACGTTTCTGGACCCAATCGGGCCTGTGTTGCTTTAGGTCGGTGGATGCAGCCCATTGTCTCGACTTCGCATTGAGGAGTGGAGCTCGACTGCCTCCCGGGTAAGACCCCATGGTTTTCTTCGGTAGTCTTTGGTGAAGTAGCTCCGGAGAGCTGTAGGGGCTCCCCCAGAAAACCAGCGTTGAATGTAATGAAACGCCATTTTCTGGGT